AGTCCCAACCTCAAGTGATCCACCCACCTCAGCCTCCCAAAATGCTGGAATTACAGGCATGGGTTTGTTGTTGTTGTTGTTGTTGTTGTTGTTTTTTTTGTCAGAGTCTTGCTTCTTGCCCAGGCTGGAGTGCAGAGGCGCAATCTCAGCTCACTGCAACCTCTGCCTCCCAGGTTCAAGTGATTTTCTTGCCACAGCCTCCCAGGTAGCTGAGATCACAGGTATGCACCACCATGCCGGGCTAATTTTTTTGTATTTTTGTAGAGACGGGGTTTCACCATGTAGCCACGCTGGTTTCAAACTTCTAATCAGATGTGATCCACCCACCTGGGCCTCAGTTATGTGCATTTTGGTATATCGTATGTCAGTGTCTTGTAAGTTTGGAAAACATGAAAGATCATAATGCTTTTATTTCTCACCATTTGGGCAGCGCCTGAGCGGTTTTGTAAAATACAGCCACTGGTGCTGTGGCTCTCTCTGGGGCCTTGAGGGGCACTTGCTTCCTCCCCACTCGCCTTATCTCCAGTAGGCTTTGGTTCCCAGAAGGCCTGAGGCCAGGTCTAAGGTTCCTGCCTGCCTTCCTTCCCATTGGTCTTTGCTTGTTCATCCCTCTAACTGCACCCCCTCTTGGTCCTTTCTCCGCAGACTGCAAATAATAGATAAGTTACTAGCAAACCAGACTGAATCTTCAGAGTAAAGAGCTCCCCAAAGCCATCTGGTGAGATCATTGTGGGGACCCAGGGACTGTTTGTCACCTGGATCATGAAGATGGGGCTGTCTCCTCAGGCTGGTGGTGACAGGATCCTAACGGGCGGGCCTCTCCCTCTCTGCTCTAGCCCAACACACATGTAGGAGGCTGTGCTGTGTGCAGTGGAGAAATCTCCCTGGGCCAGGAGAAAGTTCAGACAGTGCCTCTAGATTGCGTTTTGCCTTCCCCCAACGTAGAGTTGACATCTGGACCCCAGAGCCCAGCAGGGCCTTCTGTCAGACATGCTAGGGTGATGTAAACTGCCTCCATGTCCCCCTATGGTGTGCTGGGTGGAGGCCCCGGGAGAGCCGGCAGCGGGAGAGCTTCCCGGGTAGCTTCCCCCAGCACAGTGTTCCCAAGCCAGTCCAGCCGAAAAGCAGACTGTACAGCAAATGCTGTGTGAGATCTTAGGCCTTTCACTTTTTTTTTTTTTTTTTTT